CCCTGGCTGAATATCGGCCCCGTTGGGCCTCATCTGTGATGGTATATTTGCTCTTTGAGTCGCGCACGGAACGCTACGCGCCGTACTATCGAGTCTGACCACGAACGGTAAGCTCGCGAGCAGATACCCAGCCCTGCGGTGCTCTGTAAGTTAACGAACTCAGCAAGGGTATCAAAAGGTTCTTAACAACTAAATGACAGAGAGCATCGTCTATAGGGTTCAACTTTACCTACTTGTAGCTCAAGGGAGCCTTTATACAAAAATGATCTACATTTTTAACTGATTTAGTATCTACCTATTATCCTATTATATAGTTTTAAATATACCTTTTATCGTTGGCGTTTCCTACCCGACAACTTTGAAAAAAAAAGATCTAATGTCCATCCTACTGTTTGGAACCAAAGTAGAAAAGTATGTATTGTTCTCCCCAATGATGTATAAATCTATAGATACGTTGTCCGCGCTCTAAAATGACAACATGAAATGAAGGCAATTGACAACATCGCGCTTAGTTTCGCACCAACCTGCCGCGCAACGCTACGTTTGTTTTTAATTTATATCGTGTGTTTAAACCTGTGCGAAACAAAAGTAAAGCATGCCGTCGTGTGTGTTCAGACGATGTACAAATTATACTCCAAAAGTTAAAGACAAAAATGTGTCATTTCATGCGTAAGTCCACCAAACAACCTATTTTTATTTTATTTTTTTCGACGCCGGCGCCCGCCATCTTATGAAAATGTGGTTTTACTATTACATCCTGTGATGTCACTGAAGATGTATATTTATCTCCCTCTAGCAAAGGCATTCCACTATACGATGTCATATTTTCTTTCCCTTTCTTTACTCGTAGAAGTAGTTATCTAGTATTTTCGCCGTTTTTAAGCGCCGCGATGTTGGTTCATGACGTGTCTATATATAATACGTCATTGGTTCTCCCTTTTAATTCTAACGCATTTGTAGGGTTTAATATCAATTTACCAGCCAATAAGTCATTATTTTAGCCAACTGCAATGTTTTGGTGAAAGTCGATGAAAACGTTGCAAGCGTCAAATGCCCAGTCGTGGAGATTTTGGCAAAGCACCTCGCATGCGCGAGTTTTAGTAGGACTAACCTAAAACAGAAAGTTTTTGATACCGCGGCAAACCACCGGCTTACCGGGTTTCGAAAATGTAAACAAATAAAGTTTTTATTAAACACTGAAGAAAGTTCATTTAAAAAAAGAATTAACATTAAGAAGTGACTGTACTTAAAATTTGAAAATGGATTTAACTATGTACATTTTTGTTATTTATGGTGAGTAGATGCTCTTTGTGTTCCTTTTTTAAAAGTTTTTTTTTTTAATAGTAAATCGGCTTTGTCTTGTGTGAGTTTTTAAGGAGATTTTTGGCGGAACACGGCTTGTTATGTTTATATAAATGTTTTAAGTAGGTAGCATTTAAAAAACGAATTATTTATAATCATTGTTGTTTATTATTTCTTCAGCACGTTTAGTTTTAATTTACCTAAGCTTCTCAGCTAATTGCGTTATTATAAATAAATATTGTTTTTTATTTATTTTTTGTTTTTGTGGTTACTATGTTGATCAAATCGATGGCTGATGTCGTAGGATCCTTTGTAATGGAAACGTGAAAACGTTATACTTTTACAGGATTTGATAGAAAAAAAATCCTTTTAGAATCTGATATTTCCATAACCTATTATAATATTGTGTACAGAAACATTTACCAAATGGAACATTCAACATCATTTATTTTTAACCATGCTCATTCCTCTAGAATTATACATTAAATCAACTTAAATATATTCAAGGAAAAACTTTTAACAAAGTTCAATAGCGCCACGGACCGAAGCTTGTATGCAGTAAACACAGAGCCAACTTCAGACTGGTACAGATTCTCCGCATTGCGCATGACAATTCCCAACGCACTTCACTCAAGTCGAAAATAACACATCAACGCGAAAATCTCACATTTTATACAAAAAACGAATAAATTTTGATCATCTGTGATAAAAGAATAATACACTGTTTTATAAGGGACATTTTTATAACACACAGTTCGTGATTTTAGTGGAAAACGTGTAGGAAAAAAGTATTTTCTTTATGTTTTGAAATTGGTTTCTATACGAAGGCGAAAGACAGGTGAGTTCAGTTTATTCATGTGTTTATTTTAAACGAAAACTGTATTTATTATTATTTATTATTAATTGACAATACAAAAAAAATAACTAATTTATAATTTTGTTTTGTAGGTATGTTTTTTTATACATAAGTATTTCTTTGTTTATAAATTAAATGTTTGTCAAGTTGATTCCATAGCTAATAGCAGAGATATACTCAATTATTCGAACGCCAAATTTTTTCTCTTGATTTTCAAATCTCCAATATAAAAATGAAAAAATAAACACTAAATAGTGAAACCTGTTGATTGTAGGAGTACAATGTATGTTGTTATTAGAAAATCTATTACACAATTATATCTAAACCTTTTTATTTATTATCATCTAGAAAAATTGAGGCTAGACTTTAAAATATGCATGATATGTTTACATGTCCTTTTATCATATCATCATTTGCAGCCATGCATTATTTACATCCGTTCCAAAATTAGACTGTAATCAACAGCATTATTCTGATTACGAGCATCGCATAGCATGCCCCCATTCAATAAACATTGCGTGTACATATTTTATAATTGTACTATCCGGACATTGACATGTTTCTAAAAAAATCCCTTCCACCGAAGTTGTCCGCACTGCAGCGTCGAATCGATCGCGCGACCACGCATGCGCAAACAAACGACGTTTACGTCAGTGGTGGTAGAACGCGGGTGGGAAGTCGACGACATGCCGAAACCGACACCCGTCGAAGATCTCGTGGTCCCTCCGCAGGACACGAAAATATGCGGAACCATCTGCATCTGCCAGATGACAGCTGTCCTCAGTGCAGTGTCACTGGTATACCTAACTGTCGCGATCTACATGCCGTACACTAGAGCCATCGCGTCCGGGATCGACCCTACCCCTATTATGTGCACAACAACACGGGCCATTAACAAAGACAACTGTGACTGGGGTTCCTGCGGTGAATGGTGTCTCAGCAAGACCTCCGGCGCCTGCATCCAGATCTACGTCAATGTGAGGAAGAATGGCACATCTTTACTACTCTCTGAATGTGGAAGTGCTGCGAACAAAACATGCTTCGGTATCGACCAAGAGAATGCCAAGAAGTACCATTGCATCAGGGACGAATGTAGAAACTTGACTGGCACATTCAACTGTACTGAAGGAAAATGTATCAACATAACAGACGCGTTCGAGTGCGCCTTCAGAGAAACAGATCCACCGTTAAAATGTTCTGGGAGAAGAGGAAAAATAACTTGTATAGACGTGCATGGACTTTTTTCATGTAACAGAGGCACTTGTAGAAAAATAAGAACACCTTATAATTGTGATCGTAGATGCGTCGACATTCCTACCCGTAATAAAAACGTGATAGTTCTAAGTGGGGACAGAGTGTTTTTAGCAAGATGTGCGAAGTTAGTTCAAGAAGAAAAGAATGAAGTGGTTTGGACTGACTCCGGAGAAGAAGTGCTAATGTTATCGTGTCACGCAGTTCACAATGGGACGCAAGGAGTAGTTGCTGTTGATTGTATCAACGCTGCTCTACTGCCGCGCACAGATATAGCAGACCTGACGAACTTCACGTACCTTCAATATTTATACCAATCCAGAGCAACGCCGAACCGTGTGATCGCTCCTTCTGAAGTGGAACTAACTTTAGCGAATGACAGTCGCTTGATGATAAATTTGGAAGGATGTGTGAACACATTGGCTGATGAATGCAAAGAATTCTTGAAAGATTATGGTCGTGATGGCACTGACCATAATGCTAAAGCGAGGTTCCCCTGCTTTTATATGGAAAATAGCCCTGACACGGTTGTGGCCCGATTTGATCTGGAAACGACGTACCGTCAGTTCTTAGTTGCTTTGGTTCTGCCAACAGTATTGGTCGTGGTGTCTTGTATAACTTTAATGTTGTGTCAACGGACCATTGAAGTTGGTGATGATGCTAAGATGAGATTTAAGGGGTGCGCTGGTGGTCAAGCCGATATGCAGCTGCATCCAAACGATCCTGTTTCTCCACTCTGAGATCAGTCACGTGAGATATTTATGTTTTTTTATTTTACTGTTTGTGTTTGAAAACTGACAGTATCCTAATTTTAACACAGAATGCGTCGTTGATTTACTCAATTCCCATTATGTGTCTAAACAATAGTTTCATGTGTACTTGAAAATATTTGAAATGAAACCTATTCAGCAACGTTTATTTAAATTTAAGTTTTAAAAACAACAAGATTTATTTCTACATATTCTACTACTTAAACCGCAAACGTTATTTTAGGAAAAATCGATAGCTTGGGCGACTAAATAGGTGCTGCCCTTGACATAGTTTTGTAAGGCTGTTTTTCTACTGAATATTTTAAGGGTCGCCGATTTGATTTAATTTAATGCGCTCATTTTGAAGATTTGTGTGAAATTACACTAGTTAGGTAACTGAGTATTAGTTATTAATACTACTTAGTTACCCAACGAGTAGTAGGCATTGGTCGTTTCAGCTTTTTAGAGACCATTTAGTTGGCTAGTCTGCGTTTGTGATTGGTGAGGCGTAGACGACATTTTTCTTCATATTTTAACTTAGCTATAGACTTGATTAAAATAGGTGTTTTTTTATTATTATTCCTATTTTAATGAAATGGCCGTGACATATGTAAAAATAATACTCGAATTCTAAAATACTAAGTATTATCATGTAATTATCTATATAACGGTTACAAAAACATTATAACTTTCTAATAATTACGATGCAAACTTCAGACTTGTAACTAAAATGTTTTTGTCTTCTGTTCCAGGCGTTCCCCTCCTCTGTGAGGGTCCGGCTAGTTCACTAAGAGACGACTAACCTGCTTGCAATGCTTTCTACTGGCTGACACTCCCTCCAGATGTCTACTATGAGCAGATCCAGGGCGAGCCTTTCTCCAGCAGCCTCAGAAAGGTCGACGCTACCTATGGGAGCGTCTGCCGAACCAGGCAGCCCAGACTTCAAGTCTTTGGAACAACCTACGAGGGAGCAGCTTCTAACCCACTTTTTTGAAAGATTCAAGTTCTACACATCACTCTGTCTAGGAACATCAGCCATACTCGCAGTCTTCGCTTTCCTCTTCTTAATACCCTTCGTGGTGGAACCTGCTATTCAGACAATACTAGCAGAGTTCGTGCCAGAAGCTGGTATTTGTTCTGTCTCTGAACATGTGCACGCTGAGACTTTAACCAATTGCACGTGGGCGTCATGCAGAGAAGGATGCACGACTGCCCACACTAAATGCCATAAGATACGTGTAAATTTAGCTAGAAGACCGTTTGTAGAAAATGCACCAGTGCCGACTGAATGGGACGAGACTGATCTGAAGTTTCTGATTAACCCTGAAGGTTGCGGTTATCCTCCACGGGTTAACTGTTCAGTGTTCGCGACTGATTACGCGGGCCCGAGAGCTCCGAAGATTTTCCCTTGTTACTATAGTTTGACTAGGTCAGACCTGGTGGTGGCGAGGTACTCGTGGGAGTCGACGGTGCGAGGATTGATCCTGGCTCTGGTGCTGCCCACGACGGTGTTCGTGTTCAGTCTGAGCGTGCTCGCGTACTGGCACTGTCGTTGCTGCGACAGGGCGTGTAACAGACGGGTGCACGCCGAGTCCTTCGCGAGTAAAGAAGAGTAAGTTCCATTTTTGTCTATTGTTCCTTTTTTTAAATATTCGTAGTAATTGGCATTTGTCAATATTGTCAGAAATATGTGTGGTTTGTTTTTATTTAAGTTTCTGAATGTATTTGTAGTGTTTCCCTTTTGTTTGTTACCTATAGTGTAAATTACTGGACTTTCAGGTCCTATCTCAAGTATGGTGTTGGAACATCGTAGTATTAATGGATTAGTTTAAACAAGTACGTTAAATAAATTAGAATTTTGCACTGTGCCGTGTGATCTTTTAGTACCAAAAACTTAGTAGATTGACTTTGTAATAGTTCACTTTTGTAGGTTGGTTCTGATTTACCATTTTACTTCAGTAAATAGTTCACAAAAGTTTTGAAACTAAAATATTAGACTGTTGGCTTCATCCACGAGAAAATTCACCGTAAATGTAGGTATCTCTTTAGTTCTTGCAAAATTAGCACATTAAAATTCTAGCGCTATAAACCTGCCCTATAATGTAAAGTTATACTGCATACTCAACATTATAAAATAACGCCTGAACTATATTTTAACTAAAATTATCCCCAACATAAAAATAAAATCATTTTCTCCCTACGTGAAAAAAAATCCGAGACATCGAAAATGATTTTTATTTTCTTAAATTTTAAATTTGGAATAACGATGTTCTCTTTTTAATTCTTACAGCAGCAAACTTTTGTGCGAGTTGGATGATGATCCTAGCGATGATGTGTTCTGACGCCGAGCTTCAGCTGCCCGCCGCCGCGCCCCCTCACGGAAACCTGAAGGTTACGCACAACTCTAAACTGGGTGAATAATTGTACAATGTATTAGGCTAAACGAAAGACATATTAACATGAACGAGGACCCAATTCTGGTGCTCAAATAAAACAACTATTTCCACAAAAAAACTTTTATGGAAATCCCAGACGGCAAACGAGCAGACGGACTACCTGATGGTAAGCAACCAGCGCCGCCTATAGATGCCTGCAACAACAGAGGAGTAACGAGAGCGACCCAAAAGGTTGGCGACTTTGTGGGGATTAAGAATTAGAAGATTTTAGGATTGGCGAGAGATTAGGAAAGGGGGTGGATTGGTGATTGGCCTCCGTTAACCTCATTCTCACGCCGCAACATAACGCTGGGGTTGTTTCACATCGGTTTTCTATGAGACAGTTGTATCACTCCGGTCGAGCCGATCCATTCGTGCCGAAGCATGGCTTTCCCACATTTGTATGGAAAAAGTTGTTGTAATTGAGCACCAAAATCGGCTCCTTCATTATATTCCTCGTTTAGCCTAACACACTATATACAAAGTCTCCCAAGCTAATGGCATAGACACTAGACAAATTGAATACAAAAACTTAAATTTGTTATTCGGAGAATGATTGGTTTTCATAATGTACAGGCAAACCGTTTCAAAGTTCAATTTCGATTGTTCTTTATTCTGACGTCAAAATCGATACTGGCAGTATATTTGAAAACTTGATATGAAAACACGGGTGCCATTAAATGAAAAAGAAATCACAAAGTATAAACTATAACATTATTTCTCCTATGTCAGTAGGTATCATTTCTAACACTGATTTTTCGATTCCGTTAGCGTTTATGCCATTAATTATGGGGACTAAACCCTGACCTGCAATCTAAAGATTCCTATACTTACTTAAACATCAGTAAAACTCTATCCAATTAAATTTAATATCTCCAACACTATCGGTTGAAAAAATGCCTCAAATTGGATGGTTGTGACATTAAAATTTAAATAGCAGTAAGTACTGAAACTTACATTTAAAAGTCATAAAACCATCAACGCCTTGATTTAAAATAAGAATACCTACTATTACATTTAAAACTTCCTATTTTTTTTCTAAATAATTAATTCTTTAAATAATCAAATTTGAATAACTATTCAACCGATAGTTTTTCGATTATAATATCATAATAATAATAAATAAAGTCATATCTCATCTAGCCATTGCGAAAAAAAGAAGTGCAATTACCTTAAAAAAGGCTGGAAATCATGGGGTGGTGTTATTTCAGACCAGTATTAATATATAACGACTTTTATGGCGGGCATTAAGGCTTATGCTTAAAAAAACATTTATGAAAAATATAATATTTAAATAAAAGTACGTCTCTTTATTCTTAAACTGAGCTATGCCGGATAGTATTAAGTCTTTATTTTCTATTTTTTGCTTCCGGAAACGCGTGATCAATTTATTATTTTGTTTTTTACTTACTAAAATAATAATAATAATAGATAGAATAAAATAAAATTAAATAAAAAATATCATCCAAATATCATGTTCAAATTCGTGTACCTTAATAATTAAAAAATGAGCAATGAATAAAATATTTTTGTCCGCATTTTTTCAAATTATCAAATAAAATAGAACAATGGACAATATCATGAATTCATTTTGGAATATTATAAAAGTAGAATACACTTTCACGACTTAACTCACACGCCTAAAGTAGCAAAATACAAAATATACCTAATAATTGTAAATAAAATAATAGTTACTTTAAGCAAATTTATTACTGTAACTATTAATTTAATTTTAAATTTATTTAATTGTAATGTTACGAACAACATTACAAAGAAATTAATATAATTTTCACGTTTAAATATTTTTGTTAGCAGAGTTTTATGAGATAAATAGCTTTATAAGCGTCGTAATTAATTTTAATTCAGCTGTCCAGTGGTAGAATTAAGTTTGTGTAAAAGTAATATTAGTTTAATATCTAAAATCGTTATTCAAAATTAGTTTTGTAAAAAATATTTTTATTCGTCTTATTGATTTATTTTAAGATTCGAATTTCAAACGAATAGTTCCAATCAATCTAGATTCCATCATTTATAAAATATTTTTAATTCAAATTTAATATCGAATTAATTATTCAGTTCCCATTTTAAATATATTTCATAAATATTTTACTTTTAAAATTTAATTTAAAAACTAATTTTGAATAACCTTGTACGTAACTATAATTTAAACTATTAGCTTCTACTAGCCAGAACTAAGATTAAGTTTAATTAAAATTAAATAATATTAAAAAAAAATACTGTTGTACATAATCTGCCACATTTTGTGATATTACATTTAAATTGAAAATATTGTTCAAAGCTTTAAATTTAAATCAATCTCTATTTGTGTGTAATTAATGTAAAATTATATTAAATTTTATTTATATTTATTGTTCAAAAATATAATTATAAAAAAACTGTAATATCATTTCTATTTTATGTTTTAACTTATAATTATTTAACTTAAATAATATTCAAAATGTATATGTAAATTATAATCGGAATGTTGTTCGCTGTGAATTATATAAATTATATGTAAATAATTATAATTATAAATGTTATGTTTCAGTCTAATGATTAGATTTTAGGTAATAATTATACGCAAGTGATGCATCAAACGGCAACCAAACACAAAGTGTAATGACAAATAAAGCTTGTTTTGTAATTTTGTTTTATTTATGATAGATAATGAAATTGTGTGGATACATGTATAAATGTGGATGGACGGAGAGGGAGAGGGAGACCAAAGAAAATATGGATGGATTGTGTAAGAAGTGATATGGAAGACGGAAGACAGAGGAGTTAGCGATTGCGTGACGAGTGACAGGACAGAATGGAAGAAAAAAACATATTGCGCCGACCTCAAATAAAACGGGACAAGGGCAGGAAGATGATGATGACATGGTGGCGACCTGTCTTTCAACTTGGTGAACTAATGCTGGGGACACACTGACGGGAAATGCCAATAATTATCGCGATAATTGCTGATATTTAACAATGAAAAATATATTTTAAATAATTTGTTTAGTGATCAAATTACACCTACGATTAACTTCCAATATCGCGATAATGAATGGCATTTCACGTCTTTTAGCTGATGATGGTCTTTTTAAATGACGTGAGGTATATTTTCTACTGATGGTAAGCGATAATACAACAAAGCATCCATATACACCTGAAAAACCCAGGAGTTCAGGTGTGTTGCCAGTTTCTTTTGGATCCGAATTTGAAGATTTAGGTTTTATTAGATTTAGGGTTGGGCATAGGAGGTTGAGGAGCCAAGGATTAGGTTCCCTTGAAAACCCTCTTCATCTACGATGATGATTTAAATAACGGGATTTTCGCCTAACTGCGTAAAGTACAAAATTTTGGGTACAACTCTTCCAAAAAAATTAGAGAAATTCCAAAATAATTTTTAATTATATATTTATACGCGTTATTGTTTCACTTCCTTCAGATAAGTCCCCGATAAACTTTTGTTGATCACCTGATGGTAAGATATCAGCGCCGCCTATGGATACCCGCAACACCAGAGGAGTAACAGGAGCGTTGCCGGCCTTTTAAAAAGGAGTACGCACGAGTAGTATTCTTATCGTCATTAAAATTTTATTACCACAGCACAGGCCGGAGCAGGAGAAGGAACGAGGTAGTTTTCAGCCAGTTGACATGACATTTCTTCTCGTTTCCGTCGGAGCGGGAGAAGTTATTCGTTGATTTTCCCATAAAAATGTGCTATTTGTTTACGTTATAATTTCTTTATTATTAGCAGAAATCGTGGTACAAGTGGTATAATAGTTAATTTAGTATAGGTTTCTAGTATTTTATGTTGATAACATATGTATGTGAATGTGAATATGGTAGTCTGGATTTCCTAGACTTGAGTTTTTTTTTACTAAATTTAGACACAAATACATTCAAACTTATTCACCTTATCATTGGAACCAACTCAGCAGAAGCAAAAAATATACACTTTTTTATGAGATCGAGCGAGTTCCTTATTTTAAAAAAAAATTATAAGTGATATATTATAAATTTATATGAAATACAATATTTATTTAAAATTGATGTTCGATATAGAGAATTTTTAAACATGTTTAAAGGACGGACGTCTCTGAATTTTAGCTTGTTGATATGATATAGAGTGGCTTAAAGTAAGTCGAGTTTCCTCCTAATAAATAAAATAGGACTTATTTAATTTATTTACACTCCTATAAATATTTTTAAAATTATTTTTTCTTTACCTACTGATATCTGATACTGAAAATATATTGAATAAAGTTACATCGTTGCTAGCTTAAGCATAACTAAGCATAATAAAAATGCTTGTTTCGGATCGATAAAAAGTAATAATTTAACACTTTAGACTAAGTACCAGAGTGATAGGCGGAGCGGTAGAGTTTAGTATCACAGCAATGATTTCCTGTCACAAAAAAAAACATATAGAAAGTAAAAATATGGAATTCGTGCTGAGTGTTACCGACAAAAACAGATATTATCAATGCTAACTGACAAACCAGAATATCTTAAAAATCTATAACCAACAAAAGAAAAAGAAATATTAACCATAACTCGTTAATCGCTTTCCTTCACCACTAAAGGCAACCGCTAAACAGAATTGCTAGTATTTTAAAAGGGTTGAATGACCGAACATGGCACGGTACTTGCGTTTCACTGCATTGCCGTGGGTCTACGACATAGGCACCATAATGTTATGTTAAATATTTAGCACAGCCCCGTACATAGGGTTATGTGACATTTATGGTGTATTTCGAACACTTCGCATAGGGAATTTGGATGTGGTGTTGTGTGGTGTGGTGTGTGTGTTCTTATATATGCATTTTGGTAGAGCATCAGAAAAGAATTCTGAGCTAAATTTCCAAGATTACCAAAGTCGTACTACTGGAGGAGGAGATCCTTTCCCTCTCTCT